GCACCTCCGCACCTGAGTATTTTCCACACTGCGCCTCCTCTGAGCCTCGGTATGCTGTTCTCTTTCCTTCTAGTTGAAGAATCTCTCCTCAGCCAGCCTTCCTGTGGTTCTGGGTGATGTCCGTTCCGTCTTTTAGTTGTATTTTTGAAGTGGTTGTTTGCGGCAGCAATCTCCGGTGTTTACCTATGCCGCCATCTTGGTTTCTCTCTCCATTCCCATTCCTTAGATTTCCCTCATTTTAGACTATTTTAACTGCTTAAATCTAATACATTTCCCTTAAAATATCAATCCTATTCTGTTTCCCTTAGAGGTAAAAAAATTAATTTTATTCTCCTTAGAATAAAATGGAACATTTGGAAAATCACTGTTTCAGTGGCGTTCCCTCTGCATCAGTATCCAACCCACTACCATAAAATGGACTGTATAAGACACTACTATCATTTTGGGTTTTTTCATGGGTGGAAGAGTAAGTTCTAAGATAGGTTTTGGTCAGTTATATCTTTTATTATACATTGTATGTAATTTAAATCCTATTACATGTGGATACAAAAGAAAAATTCACTACAGCAAAACCATGAAATACCTAAAGATAACTTAATGTTTGGAATAGCATAATTATTTACATTCAAAGTTGTAGCAAACTGAGATGTTATAACACCTTAAAATTGCAAATAATTTTAATGACATACCAGTCACAGTTATATATAATAATATGAAAATAAACATAAAAGCTCTATTTTCAAATGAATATGAGGGAATTTATGTTTGTAGCTTTTAACATAATATTTTCCAAAGTAAATGCACTTCCTTGTTGTGTACTGGAAACCAAACTCTGTGAGCCCAAAACGTACTGATGTGAGATGTACTAACTCTATTCACACCTGAGGGCATCTTATTTCTCTTCTCGTTTCTTCCATGGCTGAAGAATCAGGAGGGCCTTGTAGAATATGCCTAGTCACTATTTTAAGTACTGTCTTTATCCTTTTTAGAGGACAAACCAACTCTTTTCAGTGTGTTATAAATCATTTTCTAATTTGAAAGAGAACTGCCTTTTTATTTTTATGGAGGAGTCTTTCAAGAGTCATCTCTCTCCAACCTGGAGGCATGCCAGCCTGTGAATCTGATACTGACTTATGTAATATTGAGGGAAACAGAAGACACCAGTACATCTCGTGGGGTCCCCTGCTATCTCATCAGCAGTGTCTCAGGATGGCTTTTCATGCATCTGAACTGGTTACTGGGAATTGTGTTTAAAAAACAACAATCAAAACAGTTCTCTTAATCTTGAAGATAATAGATTAAAAAAATCCTTTACTTTCAAGGAAAGGAAAAATGCATTACTTTTCCTTGTTTTCTTTGTGTGAACTGAACTAGAGAACAGCACATCTATACATAATTTATAGAACAAGTTACATCCAATATCAATGGATAGAAATGAACATGACTGAAAAAAATCATCCATTTTTCCCTTAAGCTTTGAAACACTCCCACTGATTTTTTTCTAAACAATTAGATATTTAAATTAAGAAAATGTTACTTTAAAGGGCTACATTTCAACTCTAATGAAACAAGTTATGAACTATGAATCATTTGGTTCAGTAGCTGGAATGTGAAGTTAAAATGAAGGTACTAGGGTGCTATGTTATCAGTCCTCCCTTTAGCTATGATTCCTCTGAAGAAAAGCAACAATGTCAGCAAGAGGATATATGAATAATACACCATATGACCAGGAAGCTTCTTTTAATGACAAAAGGGGGCTCTTTCTGCCCTAATGTTCAGTCTTTTGTGACAATATTGACCCATCAACAATGATGGGCTAACATCTCTACTAAGAAATCACCACTTCTACTATAGAACCCCCAGTCTTCCCTGCTTCTCAATTCTGGTATTCTATGGTCTGCAACTTTTCCACTATGTCTTCCCTGTCTTTTGAAATAACTGAGCTAAGGCAGCTGATTTAGGGAGGGTTTAATGTACAACAGGTCATGAAAGAATGTCATCCTATATAACAAAGCCTAATATGCTAAGTGTACAGTCGTCCGGTCATCCATTCAACCAATCAAAGCATAATATGCTAATGATATGCTAAGGCCACTCAACCGCTCACTATGATGTGCACTGACCACTAGGGGGCAGACAGTTGACAGGTCAATCAGTCGCTATGAGGTGCACTGACCACTGTAAGAAATAGGTCGTAGGAATTTAACTCTTGTTTACATTAGTCTATGGTAAAATTGATTTCATTTCTTATGCTTAAAAGTTGCAGTTGCCAAGAACCTATTGAAAACCTTAAGTGAACATTTAGGAATAAAACAACATTCAGACAACCCCCCATAAGGACATTCTGAATGTCTAACAGCAATACCTACCATTGGAGCTCCCAGCAGTGTGGGGCTGACTCTGGAAGGTTCTCGAGCGAGGGCCAGACTGCCCTGAGAACTGACTCTGGGCTGGGAACTCACTCCAAGCACCCCGAGAAGAAGGGTGGAGGCTCTGTGGGGCCTCAACAGAGGAGTTCAAACGCTGAGGCCAGACGGAGTCCAAATCCTGGGGTTCTTCTTTTAACTTCTCTCCTTCCTTGCCAACACGCTGATAGATCCTCCCAGTGCTGTCATTCAGTAATCTTCTCATTCCTGTAATTTGTTTTTTAATTTCCATGCTTTCACCTCCTAATGGGAACAGGGCAAAAGAGAGCACTGTAAATTAGCAAAAGAAAAAATAGTGCACTATCAAAAATGCCACCACCCCTTCTCTGGAAATGGCAAAGATTCCTGCTTCCAGATACAAGCTTTTAGATACTAAGTAATCCATAAAAATTAAAGGCAAGGAAATTGGCTATGGCCCGAAGAAACCGATTATATTCCTGGTGCGTCTCAGTTTAATCTCTTTCTGGACAAATTTTCTTATGGTAAAAGATTTCTTGAGTGCTTTTCATCTGGGGCACACTTTAAATTCCTTCTTGGGAGTGTTTTCTGGGTGACGGCATCACAAGAAAGCAGCTGAGGCAGAAGATGGGAGGATGGGACTACAAGCCTGAAATCCCCTGCTTGGAGCTGCTGCAGCCATCCACTAACCTGGCGGCAGTGAGGTGCAGACACCAGGGAGAATGTGTGGCACCGGTTGAGATGCAGAGCTTTTTGAGGCTGTTGGCACAGCAGGAGTGCCAGTAGGACACGGTCGGTGGAGACATCACCCTCAGAGGTGACAGTGCAGGAGCAGAGAGACATCGAGCACAGGAGGAGGTTTTGTCTTTCTCAGCCCAACTCACAGGGAGATGCCCCTAGAACTGGGACTCAGCCCAGTGATGTCCAGGGGTTTAAGGAAACTTTTATGTACTATTTGGAAATAAGTATCTTCCTTTTTTAAAATGGCAATAAGAATATTAATTCTACTTTTAATATCTAACATGGGTGAACACAGACATTACATAGATTTCCAAACTTACAGTATTGTTATGTGCTGCCATATGCTTGAGAGGAGAAATTTTAATTTGTAATAGAACCATTTTTATATCAAACGCCTGTAAAGATCACAGTATAGAAACAATAAATCATATTCCAGATCTTATGAGAATGACCAAGCACGATTTAAATGACGCAGCCAGCAGAATTTACGACCTCTTCAAGATGTCTAGAACAGGGTGTGTCTGGAGGAGCTCCTGGAGGAATTCTGGAAGATAAATCTACAGGCGAATGTGGTCGTTAGTTCCAGCACCCAGACACATACTTTCCTGGCTAGCTAGCAGCGTGGTTTGGGCAAGAAGAAGCTTCTTTCCTGCAGGGGTCTTGTCCTCGATCTTCTAGATCGGGGACATTGTGCACCCACCAAAGGCTGCAGCACTGGTCTTCGCTGGCACTGCCTGGTGGCTGCCACTCCCCTCCCTCCCGGTTCCCTGGCAGGAGCTGCATGGCGAGGCCACTCTCTCCCTGCTTGAGTCAGTGCCAGCTTGCTTCTCCACAGGAGCCCTGCACATCCCAGCACAAGGGCTACTGTCTTCTCAAAGGTTCCACCTCTGCTCTGGAGATCGAATGCTATGATAAAGCACTGCCAGAGGGGAAGGGGGAAGTCCGGAGGAATATGGAACTTTCTAAGAGCACATCTGCTTTGTCAGGACCTTAGTCTCCTAGTTCCCGAAGTTATACCTCTGAAAATCACAAGACTGAAATACAATGTGAGTTTTGCATACTCTGTGGAAGACCAGATTCCTGATGCGGGTTGAGTGGAGGAAAGAAGAGACAAGTGGCCCTGACTGGTTTGGCTCAGTGGATAGAGCGTCGGCCTGCGGACTGAAGGGTCCCAGGTTCGATTCCAGTCAAGGGCATGTACCTTGGTTGCAGGCACATCCCCAATAGGGGGTGTGCAGGAGGCAGCTGATCGATGTTTCTCTCTCATCGATGTTTCTAACTCTCTATCCCTCTCCCTTCCTCTCTGTAATAAATTCAATAAAATATATTTTTAAAAAAAGAAAAGAAAGAAGGGAAAAGTGGAAAGGGAGATTCTGGTTGTGGGCTGCCCCTGCAACATTTAAAAACATTTCTTCCAAAGTAAAAACAAAAATCAAACAACAAATCGGGACCTGGGGCACCACGGAGGAAGAAAGAGTGCTGTGAAGGACAGAAGCGGCCAAGGCCCCCCCGATGGACTTCACTCTGCAGAGAGCCACAGTCTACCTGACTGCGAGGACCTTTTAAAGGGCAAAAACTAGAAAAATGCAGATGCCAATGAGAGGAAAGTGAAGAGACTGTGGGGAAGGTGGAAGAAGGGCTTACTGGGGGACAGCTTCTTAGAGGAGACAGGCTGGGTGTCCCTACGGACGACTGGATGTGTATGAATGATTTCTGGGGTAACTGAATTGTCCTACCTTTAGCCAAAGAAGCAGGGAGCGACCCTGAAAATACCACCTGTGGGGACAGGTCCTAGTGCCTGAGTACACATGGGCTCTGGCAGTGTCTCCTTGCATATTTGGGACAGAAATAACAGAGGGTCAGAAAGGAGACCTGAAGGTTGTAGGTAGGGATGACCAAAAAAGCTGAGTCCACCCACATAAATTGACTGCAGGTGAGTGAGCCCGCAGAAGTTCAGCCCCCAGTTGCTGGGGTGGGGCCTGGGCAGGTCTGGTCGGTATTACTGGAGCCCAAGTTGTATGTTTGTTTTTCAATTGAGGGAGCCCAAGTTCTTTGATTTTTAAAAAATGGTGCAAGGTATGTAAGAGATTGATATTTGAAGCATTAGCCGCCCTCTACTGTCTTTCCAGTTCTAATTAGTCAACATATCGTCCAGGGATAAATGCCAGGGAGAGGAAGCTGTTAGGGGCCATGGGCTATCCAAAGAAGTGTGATTCCATACAGAAATCTATTCACTTTCCTGATTTCTTTCCAAACCTCGCTATGTCTTTGCTTACACTCAACTCTAAGAGGCGGAATCTTTCTAGAAAAACAAACAAAAAAATCTTACTAAACTGGATCCAGCACCCAATGTGGCTCCCTTTATAGGTAAAACAACCTTAACTGAAATCCTGTTGAGAGTTTAGTAACTGTGCTCCTTGGACAAGTTCTAAAAAAGATTGCAGGCTGAATTCTACCCTTCCCTAAATTTCAAGACTCTACCAGATCACTTTCCTTCACACAAAGAATTTATTAACCCCTAGAGTGCCGGGGAGCGTGATGGCGTACCTCCTGTCTTTCGCCAAAAGTGCTGGGAGCGCTATCGCGCTCCTCCTGCAGTATCACTATTAGATGCTAGTAGTTCACTCTTTATTGACAGATGGCACCTAAGTGCAGATTACTTATGATGCCGAATGTTTGTAGTTCTAAAATTGACCACTGGCATTTATCTACCTAATTTTTTACAGGTACTACGATTTTATGAAGTTTACTCAGATTTTGTAGCCCTAAAGCTTCGAAATGGCGTCCAGTTCTAAGTCTGCTTTCATTAGTGATGATGATATTGCTAAATATGTCAATTCTTGCTGTGAAGATGACGATTTTGTGGAAGATATTGGAGAAGGGTGTCCCTCTATTTTAACATTACATGTTTTGTTCAAATTTTTTTCTACTAGTATTTTATAATACAATCAGCAAATATTATATGTCAAAGATGAAAACAAATGTAGTAAAGGTTTCCTTAAGTTTTTGAATATGTAACTTCATTTACTTGCAATTCATAATTTTTTTCCTAAACTGCTGTAAAATCAGCAAAAATGCCTTGGCAATTTTAGCATAGTTCCTAGGATATTGGTTGGCACTCAAAGGGTTAAATACACAGAGTCTTGTAATAGAGGAGTCATCATATAGGATCTCCCTTCACTTGGCCAGGAGAGAAAGATATACCACACAGAACATGATTGATTATTCATGGTCTGGGATTATAAAAGAAAAAGATGGCAACATACAAAAAGTGAGTGGTTGAATGTAAAGATCATATGTCCATCTATGTATGTCTTCTTAGAAGGCTCACGAAGAACAGCCATCATATCTCTGCCTTATAAATGAACTAGTGTTGATGCATAGTAGGTATTCATCAGTAAACCTTTCTTAAGTGAATAAAAGAAATGGCTGACCAGAACTGAAATGAATCCAGTAGAATTCAATGTAATACTAATGTTATAAACAAACAGTATCTTCACAGAATGGAGTAAAAAAGTAGCAGAAATAAATTGTCCAACAAACAATTATTAAACGGCTCCTAGGCCCCAGAGATATAAAGATCATCTGGTACAAATTAAAAGGCACCCAAATTTCTCAACATCTTTTACCTAAATCCATTTATATTCATCCTGAGAAATGGGCCTGATTTTTCCCAGCCTGCTGATCCCTACCTCTTTTAACTGTGGCCCCAGAACTCTAGTGAGCAAAATGCTGGACTATTTGCAGATGACTCTGCTTTCTTGCTAGAGCTGACATACCTGCCCTGAGGAGCCTTCTTTCCCGGCAGCCCCTGCATGAAAGCTATTCACCTCCCATTCCCCTGGGGCTGGGAAGGGTGGCTTCCCAAAATGTCATTCTTCCCACCCCAGGAGGAAGCTTGGACTTGTCGAAGTCGATGCCACAGAGTTGTACCATCTCCTGCTCTTCTTCCTGCAGTTCTGTGCACTGGAATTTAAGATTCTTAAGGGGCAGTGGCAGGTGATGAAGTTGAAACATATAGGAAGGTCATCTCATTAAGGGCCTTACCTGCCAGCCGAAGGAAGAGTGATTTTACACTGGAGATATCGGGCTATTACTCTGAGTAATTTTAAATTCATTATCTCTTTTAATATAAGGATAGTAAATAATCAGATCTATCCTTTAGATGAACAATTCTGGAAAAACTATGGTGAAGTGGTGTAGGAGAGAAAACCAGTTAGAACATTATTGTTAAAGGTTACATGAGTGAGGTGAGGTCTGTACCAGGATGCTGGGGGTGGGACTGGAGAGAGAGACACTTAAGAAATTTCATCGCGCAGACCTGGTGATTAACGGGACACTGGGCTGGGGGTCGGGGTGGTAAAGAGTAAGAATCTACTAAAGATAACTCCAACATTTCTAACTGGGGTGACTGATGGATACTAATACCAGTCAGAAAATTAGAAAAAAAGATTGTAGGAGAGCAGGATAGAATGAGTCTAGTTTTGACAAGGAAACTTTAAATGATGAGCAGGCAATTAGAAATACAGTTGTGTGGTACCTGC